TAGGTAGGAGACAACCATTAGTAGCCCTCTGGGGCCTACTAACTGATCGTGCTCCATGTCTCTGGAAACCTGATTATTGCAAGAGTCAGATCTTAGCAGCTGAGAAAACAGCCAATGTGGAATATCTTGAGAATAAATGTCTGAGAAACCTGTCCCAAATCAGAGTGGATATTTTAGGCCCTATTCCTTTGAAGTTCATACATGTGCTTCACTTCACTGATGGAAAAGGCTATAAATCTGGAAGGACCACAGAGGTCTCCTTTAATGTGCTGAAGGCACTTAGGACACAGAATGGTACAGGTTGCTGTGTCTGGGGTCGCACACTTGATGGGTTTTGCGGAACTGGGACTACAATTCAGATCTCTCAGCCTGCTGTCAAGTCAGGGCATTTATTTATTTATTTATGACTCTTGTTGCCCAGGCTGGAGTGCAATGGCACCATCTTGGCTCACCGCAACCTCTGCCTCCCAGGTTCAAGCAATTCTTCTGCCTCAGCCTCCTGAGTAGCTGGGATTACAGGTGTGCGCCACTATGCTTGGGTAATTTTGTATTTTTAGTAGAGACGGGGTTTCTCCATGTTGGTCAAGCTGGTCTCGAACTTTCAACCTCAGGTGATCAGGCCTCCCAAAGTGCTGGGATTACAGGTGTGAGCCACTGTGCCCAGACCAGGTGAGGGCTTTTCTAAGCATCACTTTACCAAAGAGTGGAATGAATGCCTTCCATGACTGGGGACCATCTGGGCAGGGGTAATTGCCTCTCTCCTCATTCTCTGGCCACTGTGTGACCAACGGCAAGCATATGTGAAGCACTGAAGGGCTGGGAAAAGGAGGTAAGGAAGTTAGGGCTCTAAGTAGCGTCGACAACACCAGAGCTGTACCTGAGCCTTCTGGAGTCCTTTGTCTTTATATTCTCTTTCCAGTTCAAGCTACAAACTGTCTTTTGAAACTGTTTCAGTAAAGGCATGATATCCTAAATGTATTAAAGTTTGCCTGAATAAGTTTAAGCATCACTACTTTTAAGCATTTAGTTCACCTCTGGGAAAAATCCAATTAAGTCAAAAAGAAATTTGAAAGGAAAAATGACTAAGCCTACTTCAGGGGCATTCACTAAATCACTGCTTGTAAACTGCCCTGTGCCTGGCTCCCGCTGTGCATTTTACATGCATTGTTTAAAAACCTGACCACAATCCTGTGACATAGATGACCTTTATCTTAAGGTTAAGGAAATGGAGGCTCAGAGGGTTACCATACACTAGCTCGGGCAGGAACCTGTGAGAGTTGAACTCAGAGATTTCTGATCCCAAAGGACATGCATGTTCCTCCCACTCTGATACATACTCTCTGTTCACCCAACAAATATGTGTTAATTGTTTTTGGAAGCATCATAGAAATTGTACCTCAAGTACTTGGAAAGGCATTTGTTAAAGAAATAGAAACTTGGAGTTTGAGACCAGCCTGGCCAATATGGTGAAACCCCATCTCTACTAAAAAATACAAAAATTAACCTGAAATGGTGGCACAGGCAATCCTACCTACTCAGGAGGCTGAGGCAGGATAATTGCTTGAAACCGGGAGGCAGAGATTACAGTGAGCTGAGATTGTGCCACTGCACTCCAGCCTGGGCTTGGGCAGCAGAGCAAGATTCTGTCAAAAAGAAAAAGAGAGAGAGAGAGAGAGAAGAAAGAAGGAAGGAAGGAAGGAAGGAAGGAAGGAAGGAAGGAAGGAAGGAAGGAAGGAAGAAAAGAAAGAAAAAAGAAAGAAAGAAAGAAAGAAAGAAAGAAAGAAAGAGAAAAAAGAAAGAGAAAGAGAGAGAGGGAGAGAGAAAAGAAAGAAGGAGAGAGAAAAGAAAGAAAGAGAGAGAAAGAAAGAAGGAAGAAAGAAAGAAAGAGGAAGAGAAAGAAAGAAAGAAGGAAAGAAGGAAAGAAAAAGGAAAGAAAGAAAGAAAGAGAAAGAAAGAAAGAAAGAAAGAAAGAAAGAAAGAAAGAAAGAAAGAAAGAGAAAAAAGAAAGAGAAAAAGAAAGAAAGAAAGAAAGAGAGAGAGAAAGGCAGAAAGGCAAGTTCATTTTTAAAGACAGGCCAATGCCATATTCTATAATATAAAATAGGTTTATAGACGCTTAAAGTGAACTATTACTTCTGAAAAAACAATGTGGTTTCCAGAGAAAGGTTGTTTAGCCACTGATGAGGTTCTCGGGCTTTATTAACCTTAATAAATGTAAGTTTGGCTTTTAAAATTAAGAATAATGCAAAACTGAGACCAACTACTGGTCCAGAGTAGAATGTTGCCCAAGGCTGTGGATACATCATTGTAATGACACTGAGCATTCAGAAGGGCTAGTGAACATTTCAATCTGAGGTTAATGGGAAATCAGTTGTAAGACTAATTTGTTACTGTACTAGGAAACTATTTTACTGAAGATAAATTATCTCTTTGGGTAGATAGTTCTATGAAAGAGATTACATTTCTTCTTGCCACATTTCTCTACAAAGTATTCCAACAAAGTCTACAGTAGAGGTTGGCAACTCGTGCAGCCTGAGACAATATGTGAAAGAGAGTGGATGTGTTCCAACGAAACTTTATTTAGAAAATGACAGAGGTGGGGAAAGGGGGCTGTAGTTTGCCCACCCCCGAGCTACAGTGTTAGTAGGCATCAGGTAGTAAATGCCGCTTCTATATAAATGCCGAAAAGACCTGCAAATCAAAGAAGCCAAGTGCAGGTATTAATTTTTTTAAATATCACTATGAATATTAGAACATTCAAAGCCAACACAGAAATTATATTTCTTTAATGTGAATCTTATCATCCATGCTTTAAATGATTTGGATGCAATCTTTGGTGTTAACTCATCAGTTTTATTTTTTAGTAGCTCTGCATAAACATAAAAAAGAATTGCCTTAAACAGTTTGGGCTGCTATAATAGGGTACCACAGGCTGAGTGGCTTCAACAGCAAACATGTATTTCTCACAGTTCTGGAAGCTGGTGAATTGCCCTCTTCTTGGTTTGTAGAAGACTGCCTTTTCATCATATTCTTACATAGTCCAGAGAGACTGACTCTTATTCATCTTCTTATAAGGGCACTAATCCCACTCATAAGGGCTCCACCCTCATGACTGAATCACCTGCCAATGTCACACCTCCTAATGTCATCACAGAGGGGGCTATAATTTCAACATATGAACTTGGTTTGTGATAAGCAATATTTCATGAAGGTTCCTGTTTTCTTGTTTTGGGGTGTGTGTGTGTGTGTGTGTGTGTGTGTGTGTAACCACTGAATGGAATTGTTTTTTAGTTAGCCTATAATAATATATTCAATAATGTTTAATGAAGTTAATAAATTAAGTCAATTACAACTTTTTTTCCTAGAGATTTTTTTCAGGTTACGTTTCTTATTAAAAATGAAGGCAAGGCCTGGTTACTCATCCCTGTAATCCTAGTACTTTAGGAGGCCGAGGTAGGAGGATTACTTGAGACTAGGAGTTTGAGACCAGCATAGGTAACATGGTGAAACCCCATCTCTACAAAAAATACAATAATTAGCAGGGTGTGGTAGCAAACACCTGTAGTTCCACTTACTTGGGAGGCTGAGGTAGGAGAATCACTTGAGCTTGGGAAATGGAGGCTGCAGTGAGCCATGATCACACCACTGCACTCCGGCATGGGGAATAGAGTGACACTCCGTCTCAAAAAAAAAAAAAAAAAAAAAATTAGCTGGACAGGAGAATCACTTGGTCCCAGGAGTTCAAGGTTACAGTGAGCTATGAGCACACCACTGCACTCTAGTCTGGATGACAGAGTGAGAACCTGTCTCCAATAACTAATAATAATAATTTTAAAATATAAAATGACAGTTTATATAGTTTTCTTAGGTTATGATGGAGAACCTTCATAACAACATGAAAAATGCAATATATTATTCTTTAAAGTCTTAGTTATTTATCTCATTATGATGTCATAACAGATGTTGGCACTCAACTCTAGGTAAAGAGAAGAGGTAGCATTGACAATTTAAAAATGATTTTGGAATCAGCCATTTTAAAATTCCATGTAGTAATAACAGTAATACTGTGGTAGTAGCTACAGTAGTGGCAGTTAGCATTTCCTGAGTTCTAACACATAAAAAACTGTACAAAACACTTCACATATATCTAATTTAATTCCCAAAATAGCAAATGATGGAGGTATCATTTTACAGAAGAGGAAATGAGATGACAAGGAGTTATAAAATGTATCCAAAGTTAGAGGACTCAAACCCATATGAGTCTGATAGCAAAGTCACTGCCTTTAACTACTATGCTAGTGATTCTCAAAGTGTGGACCCTGGACCAGCAACATCAGCATCTCCTGGGAACTTGTTAGGAATGCAGATTCTCAACTCTCATCCCTATCAGCTGAATCAGCAACTCTGGGTTTGTCACATTCTCTCCAGGTAACTCCAATGTCCACTGACAGTTTACAACCTTTGTATTATGCTAAGTTGCATTTAAGAGAAGTACCAAATGCTGAGTAAACATTAGTTGCTCAATTAAGTAAATGTGATAACAGGAGAGAACTACCTAACACAGCATAGGGCTCAGAGTGAGCATTAGCTTATAATAGTTTATTTCTATCACATTAATATCCATCACGTCTGTTTATTGTGAAATCAGCTGATTAAAAACTGTTCCTGAACGGCCATCTGTTTTCTAAATTGGGAGGGGAGAAGCCCAGCACACTCTACTTAGAAAGAAAAACAAAGGCAAATGTGACTAAATTCTCCTTCCGGGCAAACCAAGATCTTGATCAATTGTTTTTTAGCTAAAAAATTAATTCAATATTTAGTATTCATCAAAATGTCCATTGCTTTATCTGGATTTCAGGGTAGCAGGAATCCACATATTTGACAACATTCCTCTGAATGAAACTGAGAAGTATTGTTGGTAGTGGTGGCTGAGCAATACGTGTGATTGTGGCAGAGATTAATGATGACCAAAGAAAGTTGACTTTTAAAACTATAAAATAGGCCACTCAGCTCTGCTTAATCACACAGGTCCACTGTGTGCTTGCCTTGTTTTCTGGGAGGCAGAGGAAGGCTCTTCTAATGCACAATGGACCCTCCCAGAATGGCCTCTCCGTTCCTAGGAGTATGACGGCTTTGGGGAAAAAGAAAAAAAAAAAAAAGAAAAGAAAATATTGGATGTTATGAATGATAATTTAATAAAATTTTTATTGATACTTAATAATTGCACATATGTATGAGATACATGTGATATTAAACATCATACAACATCATACATTAAACATCATACAATGTGTAATGATCAAATCAAGGTAATTGGGAGATTCATCACCTCAAACTTTTTTTTTATATTGGGAACATTCCAAATCTTCTCTTCTAGCTATTTTGAAATATATAATAAATTATTATTAATTATAGTCACGCTACTATACTATGGAACACTGGAACTTATTCCAACTGTATTCTTGCACCTTTAACCAATCTCTCTTTATTTCCCATCCCCAACCCCTCCCAGCCTCTAATAACTATTATTCTGCTCTCTACCTCCATGAGATCATTTTTAGATCCCACATATGAGTGAGAACATGAGATATTTCCACTTCTTTCTACCCATTATTCTGAATTACTCTCTATACCTGGTTTCTTTCACCTAATACAATATCTTCCAGTTCCATCTATGTTGCTGTAAATGACAGAACTGCATTCTTTTGATGGCTGAGCAGTATTCCATTGTGTATATGTATACAACATTTTTGTAATCCATTCGTTGATGGGCACTTAGGCCGATTCCATATCGTGACTATTGTGAATAGTGCTGCAATGAACATAGGAGTGCAGATATCTCTAATTCCCTTTCTTTTGGAAAAATACTCAGCAGTGGGATTGCTGGATGGTATGATATATCTATCTTTAGTTTTTAGAGGAACATCCATACTGTTTTCCATAGTGGCTGTACCAGTTTCCATCCCCCAAGTAGTGTGCTAGTGTTCTCCTTTCTCTGCATCCTAACAAGCATCTGTTGTTGTCTTTTTGATAATAGCCTATTTTAATGGATGTTATCAATAATAAAACTTAGTAGAATAGTTTTGGTGATACCTTTCTGAATTTATATTTTCATAGCTTGTGAAATGTCCCTCACACCTCATCTTTTGACCCCTTCTTAACCTCTTAGATTTTGCAAAACCTTGCATACATGCATGACTTAGAATGCCAGGCATAATGGAAAGTTGCCACACAAGAAAAGAAAAAAAAAAAACTCATTTTTCTTGAACACTTTCTAACATTAATAAAAGATAACTTTTGGTTGGGCACAGTGGCTCACGCCTGTAATCCCAGCACTTTGGGAGGCTGAGGTGGACAAATCACAAGGTCAGAAGCTCAAGACCAGCCTGGCCAACATGGTGAAACCCCGCCCCCACTAAAAACACAAAAAATTAGCCGTGAGTGGTGGCGGGTGCCTGTAATCCCAGCTACTCAAAAGGCTGAGGCAGGAGAATTGCTTGAACCCAGGAGGCGGAGGTTGCGGTGAGCTGAGATCGTGCCATTGCACTCCAGCCTGGGCAACAACAGCGAAATTCCATCTCAAAAAAAAAAAAGGTAAGTTTTCTTCTGGTAAATAATTCTAGTGGTGGTGTGTGGAAGACAGGAGGGTAGTGGGGATCAGAAGAGATCACATTCAGCCCAAAGAGTTCAAGAGAAGATAGAGCTAGAAAACATGCTGTTCCACCTTTATGCAACACAATTCCAAACTGTAACTGCAGGACCTCAAAATGGGTTATTGTTCACATTTTCCATAGTTCTCTGAGTGAGACTTGCATTTGTGGTCATCATCAATGAATTGCAGTAATTACCTTGGAGAGAGTTATTGGAAACAGGCCACACAGTAGATGATCCAGTGACATGTGTAGTGATGTAACCAGCATTAAATAAATGGACTTAGGGAACTGCAGAGACAAGCAGATCTCTATGGTTCCAATATAAACAGGTTCCCAAGAGTCATGACATTGTGAGTCATAATGGTACCGCCATGTTTTTATCCTCGTGGGAAATGTGAAATTATCCAGGAATGACATCTGACAATAAAGAAGATGAAGAGATTATTTCTAGATCAAAATAGGAAGAGAAGATGTCTGGACATTTGCCCTGATTTGACAATAAAAGATGTAAGTATCTCTTCTACTTCTTTCTACCCATTATTCTGAATTTTTATTGATAAATCAGGGTACTTTCCAGGAGCTCACACATTTTGTAAAGCAGTTTAAATAAAAGCGTTTAGTTAAAGAAGGCTTTGTAAAGAACACATATATATTTTTCTTGCTTTGCAGACAGGAGCCTCCCAGAGCCACCTGCACCAGTCATGGACAATCCCACTATGTTCTTTGACGCCATCATCAAGTTGTGCTGTGTCTTCTTTGAGCTGTTTGCAGACAAAGTTCCAAAGACAGCAGAAAATTTTTATGCTTGAGAACTGGTTAGAGAAGATTTGGTTATATGGATTCTTGCTTTTACAGAATTATTCGAGGCCTTATGTGCTAGGGTGGTGACTTCCTGCCATTAAGGCATTGGTGACAAGTTTATCTACATTTGATGATGAGAATCTCATCCTGAAGGATACAGGCCCTGGCGTGATGTTCATGGTAAATGCAGGACTCAACACAAACAGTTCCCAGTTTTTCATCTGCACTGCCAAGACTGAGTGGTTAGATTGCAAGCCTGTTGTCTTTAGCATGATCAAAGAGGACATAAATATTGTGGAAAACCATGGAGCACTTTGGATACAGGAATGACAAGACCAGCAAGAATATCGCCATTGCCAATTGTGGAAAATGCTAGTAAATTTGACTTGTTTTTATCTACCACCAACCATTTTTTCTGTAGCTCAGGAAAACACCCTTCCACCCCATTTACTCGCAATATCCTATAATTTTCATGCTCTCACTACAGTTCTTCGAGTTTTATATTTTTCTTATTTCCCTTCACATCTAGCTGAATTGAACAGTTGTTTATAATCATGATATAAAAATTAAATAACAACAAACAATTTTCCAGGGGCCCTATATACCCCACATAATAGCAGCTCTGCTTGGCTGTGACCCTGTGTTTGAGAGTTAACAAGTATTAATTGATGCAGTACTTACTGTAGTATCATGGTCTATGTGAAATGCTGTTATTCCAGCCCCTTAAATCTATATAACGCAAACCTTGCCTTAAGAGCCATGGTCTTGCCAGTAATACAGAATTTACACAGATGAAACATATCAGGAAATACATAAAATTAGATATTGTATGATGCCTAATCGACTAGACACATCTTTAAACATGGTAGAAATGGTTAATGCTCAAGGCTGAGGAAGGGGCAAGCTCAGTCTGGGCTGGTGTCTCAAGGAAAGCTTGGGGGCACTTGATGCAGCCCCGAGTCACATGCTGGACTTGGACAGGCTCAGAAGTGTGCAGAAAGCTGGCAGGGTGTAGGGGGCAACAGTAGGAATATCCTGGGGAGGAAGTCTCTCTATTAAGAGTCAGGCCTGAGGGCATTCTGAACCAAAGAAGGTACAGCCTCTGCTTTTTCTTGGAACTAGACTCTTGAGCTATTTAAAGCAGAAAAGCCACCCTGTAGGGGAGTGGCAAGCAATTAGGACACCCTTCACTACTCCCTGAATAGGGGACATTGATGGAACGCATTTGGGGGCAGAAGTCTCTCACTGGAAATCTTGGTGATTTCTTTAACTTCAATATCTTGACTTAGACTTAGCCCAACAATCGCATTCTTGCCACACTCTGTCCATCTTCTTCAGGTCTTCTTTCTGTCTTGCTATCCTAGGAATGATTTCTGTTCTTACCTGTTTGCCATCTAAGCACCCACCTTGTTCTCTAAGCATGAATACCAGTTTTCACTTTCCACTTTTGCCAAGCCTCAGCTCAATGTTGACTTGAAGTCAGAAGAACTGTGACTGAGGCTAGCTTTGCCACTTACTGTCTCTGTAACCTTGGGCAGGACACTGTGTGCCTTAGAACTTCTGTTTCTCTGTTTGTAAATGAAGACAATGATGCCTTGCTACCTACTTCACAGGGGTATTTTGAGGAGAAAATAAAGTACTTTAGTTTAAAAGAATAATATCTAGGCCAGGCGCAGTGGCTCACACCTGTAATCCCAGCACTTTGGGAGGTCGAGGAGAGCAATCATGAGGTCAGGAGTTTGAGATCAGCCTGGCCAACATAGTGAAACACTGTCTCTATTAAAAATACAAAAAATTAACTGGATGTGGTGGTGGACGCCTATAATCCCAGTTACCTGGGAGGCTGAGGCAGGAGAATCACCTGAATCTGAAAGGCAGAGGCTGCAGTGACCTAAGATCATGCCACTGCACTCTGGCTTGGGTGACAGTGTGAGAATCCATCTGGAAAAAAAAAAAAAAAAAAAAAGGATAATATCTAATACTTAAATAGAACTTATTCCACGTCAGGCAATCTTTTAAGTGCTTTAGGTATATTAATTATTTTAATTCTCACAATAGCCCTGTGAAGAAGAAATTATTATTATCACTATTTACAATAAGAAAATTTAGGCATAGAGAAATTAAGTAAAATTAATGCAATTGTTAAGTGTAAGAGCTGAGATTTAAACCTTGAGAGTCTGGTTCCAGAATCTGTTCCCTCAACAACCACATTATATTGTTTATCAAATAATAACAACTAACACTTGTGTAAGGCTTACTATATGCCAGATACTATTCCAGTGGTCCAACTCACTTACTTAACTGTCACAATAGCCTTTTGAGGTATCTATGAGCTAGACACTGTTATTATCTGTATTAAAATGCTCTGTGAAGACTTCCACATGTAGGAAGGCAGAACAGATGTACTTTCCCTATACCTCTCACTAAGTGCAAAAGAAAACACTGTCCAGCATACATAGATCAAACACAGGGAAACTCTAGAAGGTGGAGAGAAGGTAGACTGACTAGGGACCTCAGAATCCAAGAAACAACATGGTGGTACATTCCCTGTTTTTTTCTTTTCTCCTCATACAATTCAGACTTGGAGCTGAAGAAGCTAGCAACCTGCAAATGCCAATGGGTGTAAACAAACAAACAAGCCCCAACAAAAGCTTGCTTACTCTAGCCAAAACAAAGGAC